TATATAAATATATATTTTTTCACGTTAGCTTTTTTTCCCTGTAAACTATGTTCTTTATTTCTAGAGGAAGTTTTTGTGACTTAAATTAGTATGTATGAGACCTTTTTAAATTAAGGAGATTAATTATTTGAGTCTTTCATAGCAAGTTTATTTCTAAGAGTTAAAAAGCTTTTAATTTTATTTATGATACTTTTGATACAGAGAAATTGAAAGTAGATTTGTGGTCAGTTCTAGTCATCTTTTTTCTTTATCCATTACTTTTATACTTGGAATGCCAATGTAAAGTGAAGTAAAGTAAGACTTAGTAGTTGGAGAAACAGAGGAAAACAAGAACCTGGATAATTCATGTAACAGAGAATCAGTCAACACAAAACCAAAAACAGGAGCAGGGAAGACACGAATGCCCTGACAGTCATTTAAGTTTTTAAGATAATCATTATTTTGCAAGAATATACTATTTCATGTTGACTTCAGAAATTAACATTTTTTTCAAAGAATATTATTTTTATTCCCAACACTCTGGAGTGGCAAATTGGCTCTTTACTTTAGAAAGGGGAAACAGGACCCTGAGTGTCTTTCACAGAGTAACTTGGTACAAGTATCTGTAGCAATGGATGCTACCATTTGTCACACGGCCGTACTGTGGTGGCTGTGCTCTGCCGTCATGCTGGAAGTCAGGTACTGTTATCTGAACTATCAGCAGGGTCACTCTGGAGGACAGGTTTCAGCAGAGCTTCCAGGCTAGGAGGAAAGACCTGGCAATCGACTTCTGAAAATTACCAGTGAAAACTCAAAAGATCACAACCAACTTTGCCTAGAAAGTAGGAAATCAAAAGAAAAGACTTCATGATATGAGAAATATGTCTGATATGGTGCCGAAAGATGAGCCCTCTAGGTTGGAAGGCACTCAAAACACACAGTGACCACAGCAATGGACTCTGAATGCCAATAGTCGTGAAGACAGTGCGGGACTGGGCAACATTTTGTTGCAAGTGGGGTTGATGTGAGTCCGAGTTGGCTTGACGGCAGCTAACAATGAGCTCACCATGTGGAAAGAGCGTATTGAACTCATTCTGACCTTGCACAAGTTTACAAGTCTATTATCTGTTGGCTATGCTGTTTCCTATGACCGAATATTCAGACTTGCTGGTCTCAGAGCTGGATTCTCCAGTGGTTTAATCCAAATAAACACAGAATGAGATAGGGTGCTTTCATATTTCCTTATACCAACAAGTCGATGGCATGTCAATAAATTTGCTCCCACTGCCTTTAACATTAAAAAGGGCTTTCCTTAATTAACTCATTTGCTTTCATTATCTCACCTACATTTTCTTGTCAAACACTGTGAAAGTGAAAGCACAAACTCAAATGAGATGAGGTAGACAGGAAGTAAACCCTCAAACACACAGGAGCTCTGAACTCACATCTTCATAAATGTCAAAGAAGGTGGCAACCATGGCATCTCTGATTTGATTTAGGTTCGACAGGTCCCAGTAGACTTTAAACATACGATGTGCCCCCTCACAGCTTGCATTATTACAAGGGACATTCTCCAGTAAAAAGGCCTGCTGATTACTGTAAGACAAAGAAAAGAAATTGTTATTATAACACGTCAGTGTTGAGTAGTATCAGTTATGCTGTATTTCCTGCAATCAAAGGAGATGGTAAATGGTATACAGTGAATTATACTAAAAGATCTCCAAACACTATTGATTACTGTACTGTGTCATATTACCAGTCAGCTGTCATCGAGTCGATTCTGACTCATAGTGATTTATGTTGTCAGAGCAGAAGTGTGCTCTGTAGGGTTTTCAAAGCTGTGACCTTTTGGAAGCAGACTGCCAGACCTGTCTTCTGGGGTGCCTCAGGTATGTTCAAATCATCAACCTTTTGGATAATAGTTGAGTGCTTAACTGTTTGTGCCATCAAGGGATCCCACATGTTGAAACAAACTTAAATTACTGGTTACCCCTTGTTATCAACCTTTGGCAAAATCCTGCTAGTTGACTACTGACTTGTCTCTTCTCTGCTGTGGAGTTTCCAAGTCCATCTCCCCTTTCTCTCCTGCTACTTTACAGCCAATGACCTCGTGTTCCATTACTGAAACCCTGGACACAGTCATTGTTCTGGTTACCTGGTGCCACTCTCACAAGAAATACACCACAAATGGGATGGCCTTAACAAACAGGAGTTTATTCTTACAATTTGGAGGCTTTAAGTCCAATTGAAAGTGCTAAGCTCTAGAGGCTGGATGAAAGCCCTCAACCTTGGGGTTCAGCTCTGACTCCTGCTCCTGGCCCACTGGAGCTCAAGGTGTTTCTTCACTCAGACAGCTGCTGGCTGCTGAGACTGAGAAGCTCCAAGGTTGACAAGTCAAAAGGCATAGTCCCGATGTTACCAAACCACACGGCAGGCCATTAACTTAAGTCCATTGAAGTCCCAAGGTTGGCAGAGCATGGCAGGCTGCTGAGCAACGACACAGCTACATGCAGAGTCCAAACACACCACAGGCTAGAGACTATTCTCAAAGCTTCTCCTTATATGCAGGAAGCAGACCATATCCCAAAGCCAGCTACCCAGCTGCTTGTGGTAGATCCACCATGGAGTTGATTGCCAGTCTCATCATGGGGAATAACTACCACCAGCTGCCCAGCCACTCAACCAGGCCCAGCCAAGTTGACACACAAACGTAACTACCACAGTCATAATCCCTTCAGATGTATATATACATTTTTAACTGAAGAATCCTGATAGGCAGTAGGATAGATATTGCACTGCACATTTCAGAGAACAAAAGTGTTGTATTTCCTGTATCATGAAGTCTTCCCTTTTGAATTCTATTCTACAGGCGAAGTGGGTTATGAGCTTAGATTTTGGAGACAGATTATCAAACAAGCAAACAAATAAAATAGTTGCTGTCAAGTTGATTAGGCTTATGGAGCCAAATTACGTGGATTCAAATGGTTTATCCTTTAGCAGCTCTCTGATCTTCGGCAGGTTAGTTAACCTTTCTAAGACTCAGAATCTTATTTGTAAACTGAATAATAAGAGTATTTACCCAACAGAATTGTTGTAAAGGTGAAATGAAATACTGCATAGAAATTATTTAGAACAATTCCTGGCACCCAGTTAATACTCAGTAAAAGTATGTTATCATACTGTGTCTAGTGCAACACGACACCATGTAAAAATATCTCCTTTAGAGTTAGAAGTTAGTTTTGTAAATACTGTGATTTTACATAATGGCTCCTATCTATAGGGATTTCCCAGTATATATTGGTTCCCTCTATGCATATAGAAAATAATAGATTATTTTATTTTGGGTCTTAGATTTTTTTACTGTCTAATATTTCTCTAATCATTGTTTCTAATAAAATTGTAAATATAGAATTTTTATATAAAGATATTACTTTCGGTCTAGGTTATGTGGAAAAGAAGAAAAGGCTGTTTCGTAATAAAGGAATATATCCAAGTGTTTGATACAGTAAAGAAACCTATGTGAAAATATTCACTTTGCATGATATACTGAATACATGACTAACTTCAAACTACTCCTCAGAAGGAAGGTTGAATCTACTTCTGTAGTGATACCGCCTTGGAAACCCAAGGAGGGGTCGCTATGAGTCAAGTCCGACTCGACGGCACGTAACAGCAGCAACAATTATTAAGATAAAATACTCCAACACAAAGAGTATCAAAACAGAGGACTAAAACCCCTAGAACTTTGTATTTACGTGGAAAGCCTTGTGATAAATTCCTGTTAGGTTTAAGACCTAACATATAACATTACTTTTTCCTGTTTGAAGTAATAAATGATTTATCCTCTGTCTCCACCCTAATAACTGATTTTTAAAATAGAATTTGTAATATTCTTTCCAAGTAATTTACCTACCTTTTTAGCTAAATAATTTTGCTAATAGTTCAGAGGGATGCAGTGTACTCTATTTTGTTATTGTTGTTATGTGTCATCGAGTCGGACCTGACTCATAGCGACCCCTCCTTGGGTTTCCCAGGCAGTATCACTACGGAAGTAGATTGCCCCATCTTTCTTCTGAGGAGTGGCTGGTGGGTTTGAACCACCAGCCTTCTGGTTAGCAGTCAAGTGCCTTAGGCACTACGCTACCAGAGCTCCCATTTTGTTATTAGGTGTTTATATTAAAACGTGAGAACACGTGATAAAAACATCCTTTCCATAATCTTCTCTAAACAAGGTCCCATACTGGTTACCTTTTGAGTGAGCATGTGCCACTGGTTTCCCTTTCAAAGCTACTGCATGGAATTCCATTACTATACTTACACTCTACTAACAATTTCAAATCTACAACAACCTATTACAACAACATTTACTGCTGCTGCACAACTTAATTAATTGTGATATGAGTTTGTAAAGGATGTAAGTGCCATGCACCATTGTTTTTTGACTGTGCTGGTCTTCTAATAAGAGAACTGTGAGAACTCAGAGTCTAAAAAGTCCAGTTCTTTTAAATTCTACTGGGATATACGGGTAGCCCAGCATTTCATCTTTAAAGATAAAATTCTATTTAAGTGCAGAAAGGAAGAACCTTGATCCATTTGGTTTGGAAACCCTTGGGGAAAATGGTCTTGCTTCTTTTGTGAGTTTCTCTATATTCCTAGAAATTATCATTAATATATGTTTTAAAAACATTTTTTTAAAGCTATTCCACAAGTTACTATAAAATTCAAATAAAGGAGACAGTTAAAATGTTGAAATTCTTCCTTTCCAGGGAATACACTGTTAATAATTTAGTGTGCATCTTTCCAAACCTTCTTCTAGCATATACAAATATGTAAGTACATATTTAAAAAAAAAAAAAAAAAGATTCTGCTACACACATTTCCCTACGTTTGTTTCAATTCATATACACGCAGATACAGGTATAATCTGAACAGGAATTTTCTTTTTACTTCCCACTTCCTCCCTGTAGTTACCTCTTCCCTGAGTCCTTCTTTCCTACGCATTCCTATCCCTGGAGCTGTCTCCCTGTGCAAATACCGCCCTTCTGCTCTCCTATGGTTGATCGTTCTAAGGAGTTTATCTACCTGATGTAAATGTTCACCCCATCTGACTGACTATTGTTTAGTTGGAAAATATTTTTCTTTATGGCACTACAAAAATTTTAAGGAAGTCCATCAGGCAGATGGAAAATGATACCAAATGAAACAATACGTGATGAAGAGCAAATAAATATACATAATGAAATGCTAAATAAACAGGCAAATATAAGATTTTTTCTTACTATTTATATTGATTTAACTGTGTAACAAATGAAAACAACACAACATAATGGGGAATCTCTCCAGTGTGACTATAACAGAAACACCACAAGTGGATGGCTTTAACAAACAGGAATTTACTATTTCACAGTTTAGCAGGCCAGAAGTCCAAATTCAAAGTGCCAGCTCTAGGGCTGGGTGAAGGCCCCTTGACCTTAGGTTTCAGTTCTGCTTTTTGTTCCAGGCTCACAGGAGCTGCAAGTGTCTCCTAGGTCACACAGCTGCTGGCTGCTGAGGCTGACAAACCCAAGGTCTTCAGATAAAATGACAGAATCCCAAGTTCAGCAGGCAACACAGCAGGCCAATGATTCAAGTTCAGGAACTGCTAAGGAATATTTGGCTAAACGCCAGATTCAGAATGTGCCAAAAAGCTAGAGACCCTGCTCAAAGCTTCTCCATGCATAATGGAAGGAGGCCACACCCTGAAGGCAACTAATTAGTTGCTCACAGCACCTTCCACCCTGGGGGTGATTACAACCTCATCATGGGGAATAACTACATTCAACTGCCAAGCCACTCAGAACCAAGGTCCAGCCAAGCTGACACACAACCTTAACTACTACAAGGAGTTAAAGTAAAATGTATGATGATAATACCACCAAAGCCAGAATGGGAGAAATGGAAGTATACTCTTGTAAGGTTCTTAAACTGTAAGTGAAATGATGTAATTTTGTTTGAAGACAGACAAGAATAAGTTAAAGATGCATACTATGAGCACTAAGCAGTCACTAAAATGAATGAATAAATAAAATGAAGTCAACAAAGAAGATAAATGAATCATAAGAAATACTGAATTAATTTTAAAAAAAGCAGGAAGAGGAAAAAGGCAACAAAGAAGATGTGGGAAACATAGAAAACAGATCAGACTGTGGACTTAAACCTAACCATACAAATAATTACAAGAAACATAAAAGATTTAAACAGACTGGCGATCTACTTCCATAGAGATACTGCCTCAGAAACCCAACGAGGGGTTGCTATGAGTTGGGACCGATCGGACAGCATGGAGTGTGGTTTTTTAGTTTAAACACATAAATTAAAAGGCAGAGATGATCTTACTGGATTAGAAAGCAAGACACAATTATATGCAACCTACAAGAAATCCACTTAAATATTAAGACATAAACAGGTGAAGTAACAAGACAGTCCACAGAATGGAAGAAAATTGTGCAAATCATATATCTTATAAGGGACTTTATCTAGAATATATAAAGAACTCTTAAAACTCAATTAACAAACAAACAAACAGCAAATAATCCAATTTTTAAAAAATGAGCTAA